GCAGCATAAGGCCTGGCCATTCCACAGTGCAGGGAAATGTCTGATGCTTAGACAAATGATGCACATCTTGTGACACGTGCTCTCTGATGAGAATGGGAAAATGTGGCCTGGGAGGGCCCCTTTCCCTCCTGGAAGCCCTGGCCTTGCACCCCTGGGGGCAGCCACCCAGCTGTATACACTACACTGTCCCCCTGAATGGCCTCATTCTGCCTGGCTGACTTACCTTCATCCATTTCCCAACCAAAACATCCCTTTTTCCAGGAAGCCTTCCCTGACCAGCCACTTCTGCACACACTCTTGGTCAGAATCCCTTAAAACATACTGCCACCAAAATCTAAGTTCTAGTTAGTGATTGGTTTAGCACCTGTCCCTGGGGCTCAACTGTCCCTGAAGGCATGGACTGTGCCTGTCTTGTCTACTTCTGTGTCCCCAGGTCCTGTCACAAGGCCTGGCATGTGGTAGATTTAAAGTGGTTGCAAGAGGCCGGGCGCAGGGGCTCACGCCTGCAATCTCAGCACTTTGGGAGGCCGAGGCACGTGGATCACCTGAGGTTGGGAGTTTGAGCCCAGCATGACCAACATGGTAAAACCTCATCTCTACTAAAAATACAAAATTAGCCCGGTGTGGTGGCGCATGACTGTAATCCCAGCTACTTGAGAGGCTGAGGCAGGAGAATCACTTGAACCTGGGAGACAGAGGTTGCAGTGAGCCAAGATCACACCATTGCACTCCAGCCTGGGCAACAAGAGCTAAACTCCATCTCAAAAAGAAAAAAAAAAAAAAAAAGGTTGCAAGACTGACCGACCGCGGTGACTCACACCTGTAATTCCAGCACTTTGGGAGGCCGAGGCGGGCAGATAGCCCGAGGTCGGAAGTTCCAGACCAGCCTGGCCCACATGGAGAAACCCCGTCTCTAATAACAATACAAAAATTAGCCAGGCGTGGTGGCGGGCACCTGTAATCCCAGCTACTCAGGAGGCTGAGACAGGAGAGGCGGAGGTTGTGGTGAGCCGACATTGCGCCACTGCACTCCAGCGTGGGCGACAGAGCAAGGTTCCGTCTCCAAAAAAAAAAAAAAGAAAATGTGCTTCAATCTGTTTTACTGCAGTGACAGATTAATAGTTGGCAGAATTTACTCACAATTCTAAATAATTTTTCTTTGAGGTAAGTAAATCTGCTCGGCATTGTCTTGGCTCATCAGTGTTTGCTTGTCAGCATTTTCTGTAACTGAAATAGGAGTGAGGTGACCCTTGTTCTATTAGTCAAGATCTACCTCTAAGGCATGTTTTTTTTTGTTTGTTTGGGTTTTTTTTTTGAGATGGAGTCTCGCTTTGCAATCTTGGTTCACTGCAACCTCCGCCTTCCAGGTTCAAGCGATTCTCCTACCTCAGCCTCCTGAGTAGCTGGGATTACAGGCACCCACCACCACACTTGGCTACTTTTTGTATTTTTAGTACAGATGAGGGTTCACCATGTTAGTCAGGCTGGTCTCGAACTCCTGACCTCATTATCTGCCCGCCTCAGCCTCCCACAGTGCTGGGATTACAGAAGTGAACCACTGTGCCCAGCCTACCTCTAAGGTTTTAATCGTTTTGAACCCAGTACTCTTGTTTGAAATGTCCAGCTGTAAACTTTGCTACATATTTGTAGGCACAGTGATGTTATTTCTTCAATGTAGGCTCACAGTCTGTGAAGTTTGCTTTTTTTTTTTTTTTTTTTGAGATAGTCCCACTCTGTCGCCGAGGCTGGAGTGCAGTGGCACGATCTAGGCTCACTGCAATCTTGACTTCCCAGGTTCAAGCGATTCTCCTCCCTCAGCCTCCTGAGTAGCTGGGATTACAGGCACATACCACCATGCCTGGCTAATTTTTTCTGTACTTTTAGTAGAGACAGGTTTCTCCATGTTGTCCAGGCTGGTCTCAAACTCTTGACCTCAGGTCTGCCTGCCTCGGCCTCTTTTTTTTTTTTTTTTTTTTTTTTTTTGAGACAGAGTCTCACACTGTCACCCGGGCTGGACTGCAATGGCATGATCTTGGCTCACTGCAACCTCCACCTCCTGGGTTCAAGCGATTCTCCTGCCTCAGCCTCCCAAGTAGCTGGGATTACAGGTACCCACCACCACGCATAGCTAACTTTTTGTATTTTTACTAGAGATGGAGTTTCACTATGTTGGCCAGGTTGGTCTCGAATTCCTGACCTCATGATCTGCCCTCCTTGGCCTCTTAAAGTGCTGGGATTACAGGCATGAGCCACCACACCTGGCCTGAAGTTTGCTCTTTTTAGTCAGCTCCATAAAACAGTGTGCTAAGATTTTCACATCTTTAATTATCACATGGTTGAGGAGAGTTCTACATTACAAATGAAAAACTTGAGATGGGGAATTTAGGCGATGTATTGTTTTGTTTTGTTTTTGAGACAGAGTCTTGCTCTGTCCCCCAGGCTGGAGTGCAGTGGTGCGATCTCGGCTCACTGCAACCTCTGCCTCCCAGGTTTAAGAAATTCTCCTGTCTCAGCCTCCAGAGTAGCTGGGACTACAGGTACATGCCACCATGCCTGGCTAACTTTTGTATTTTTAGTAGAGACAGGGTTTTACCATATTGGTCGAGCTGGTCTCAAATTCTCGAGCTCAGGTGATCCACCTGCCTCAGCCTCCCAAAGTGCTGAGATTTACAAGCATGAGCCACCACCCCTAGCCAATTTAGGTGATTTAACTAAAGTCCCAGTAGCAAAACTTGCACAAAAGCCATATAAGGCGCATGTCCCTAGGCTCTGTCCAGGGGAGCGAGGAAATACACTGTGAAGTAGTGTGATCTTGTTATCTGTGCTAGTTGATTTTATGTGTCATTGTGGCTAGGCCACACAACCCAGATATGTGGTCAAATACCAGTCTAGATGTTGCTGTGAATGAGATTGAATTTATTTATTTTTTTGAGATGAAGTTTTGCTCTTGTTGCCCAGGCTGGAGTGCAGGTGCAGTGGTGCGATCTTGGCTCACTGCAACCTCTGCCTCCCAGGTTCAAGTGATTCTCCTGTCTCAGCCTCCCAAGTAGCTGGGATTACAGGTGTGCGCCACCATGCTTGGCTAATTTTGTATTTTTAGTAGAGATGGGGTTTCACCATGTTGGTCAGGCTGGTCTCAAACTCCCAACCTCAGGTGATCCACCCACCTCGGCCTCTCAAAGTGTTGGGATTACAGGCGTGAGCCACTGCACTCAGCCGAGATTGAATTTAAGTCAGTAGACTGAGTAATGCAGATGACCCTCCATAATGTGAGTGGGCCTCATGCAATCAGCTGAAGGTCATAAAAGAACAAGACTGACGTCCTTTGAGGAAGAGGGAATTCTGCCTCCAGACTGTGGTCGGCTCAGGACCACAGCATCAGCTCTTCCCTGGGTCTCCAGTCTGCCTTGCCGATTTCAGACTTACAGCCTCCACAATCGTGTGAGCCAGCTCCTCAAAACAAAATCTCTACACACACACACACACACACCCACACCACTTATTGGTTCTATTTCTCTGGAGAACTCTAATACATTATTGAAATCCCAATCAAGGTGTGACTTGAGAAAGGATTTGTGGCCTGTTTGGGGAAACAAGAAATAGACCTGGGGCCATAGTTCCAACATCAAAATACCAGAATTGCTAGGATATTTTTATTGTTCAACTGTCCTAGAAACTGGGAGTTTTAGTCAAGACTATATTAGAAAATCATGGTTATAGACTCAGCATATGCATTGTCTATGCTATTTTTCTACCATTAAGACACTCCTGGCAAGGGCCAGGCATGGTGGCTCATGCCTGAAATCTCAGCACTTTGGGAGGCCAAGGCAGGAGCATCACTTGATCCCAAGAGTTCAAGACCAGCCTGGGCAACATAGGGAGACTCCATCTCTACAAAAACATTTAAAATGGAGCCAGGCATGGTGGCATGTGCCCGTAGTCCCAGCTACTTGGGAGGCTGAGGTAGGAGGATCGCTTGAGCCTGAGAGGTTCAAAATGCAGTAAGCCATGATCACGCCACTGCACTCCAGCCTGGGTGACAAAGCAAGATCATGCATTTAAAAAAAAAAAAAAAAAAAAAGCACAAAAATAAAAAAGACAGCCCTAATGTCACTTCAGGGAATTTCACAGTACCTGTCAGGTCCACTAGAACAGTACAGCAGAACTTTCTACAATAATAGAAATGTTCTGTAATTCTGTGCTGTCTAACAAGGTGGTCACTCGCTACATGTGCTATCAAGCACTTACTTAAAATAAATGTGGCTGGGGTGATGAAAGACTTTTTTTTTTTTTTTTTTTTTTTTTGGTGAGACAGATTCTCACTCTGTTGCCTAGGCTGGAGTGCAGTGGCATGATCTCGGCTCACTGCAACCTCTGCCTCCCGGGTTCAAGCGATTCTCCTGCCTCAGCCTCCTAAGTAGCTGGGATTACAGGTGCCTGCCACCATGACCGGCTAATTTTTGTATTTTTAGTAAAGACAGGGTTTTACCATGTTGGCCAGGCTGGTCTTGAACTCCTGACCTCAGGTGATCTGCCTGCCTTGACCTCCCAGAGTGCGGGATTACAGGCATGAACCACCATGACTGACCCCGGCCTAAAATTTTAAATTTAAGTAGTTGCGTGTGGCTGGTGGCTACTGCAATGGACAGTGCAGCTCTAGGGGGCTGCAGAGGTGGGGCTGGCCAGCTCGGTGTTTGGATAAACAACTTGTTGAGAAGGAGGGAAGCCTTGGGAAATGCCTGGGGGTCTATCATGCCTCCTGGTTTAATATTCTGGTCAGTGCCTATTGCTTTCTCCTATTTTCTCATTTACCCCATTGTTTACTATTACTGCTAAGGTGGGCTCTATAGGGGCAGTAGGACCCTTTATGCAGCAGGACCTCAGTGGTGCTTATGTTGTGTTGGAGCTGCTGGCTAGGAAGGCCCACAGAGGCAGTGAAGTCTAGTACTGTGTGGGAAGGGCCTGGCTGTCACAGGCCCCGAGGCTTACCTGCTTCCATGGTCACAGGTCCCTGGCCTTGCACAGAGGTACTCAAGCTTGGGCTTGGCAGGGATTTTCTTCTGCTGGGCAGACTTCCCATTGTTCCTCAGCAGAGCACTCAGAAGCACATCATCGACGGAAATCTGAAAGAGACACAGTGATGGGGACAGAGCCCAGGCTTCTGGCCCAATCTCAGATAACTCTCCTTCCCCAGATCGGCCCTGGCTACCTCCTCACAGAGCATGTGAATGACCTCCCTCCTATGGGGCCAGGCTCCAGCCCCTGAAGGCTTCCTGCACATTGGACGCTGTTTTCTCCACATCTCATCTTTTTTATGCCGCAACAGGCTCAACTTTTTCTTTCTGGGCCTCTGCTTAGGTCCCTCCCATGGGCAGTTATGCCTTCTCCTCTCTTTCAGTCCTGTTTGGATCCTATTCTTCCTTCCCCAGGAAGCCTTCCCAGCCCCTAACCTTTGTTGATCACTCCTTTGACTTCCTACGGCTCACTTAGAACCCTTTCTCTGACCAGGGATCACACTCTGCTATGGGTGGGAGGGGACAATGACAGGACAGTGAGCTCCCTCCAGGCATACCAGGACCTGTGGCTTGGGTCAGAGGTCTGCAAGGAGGGCTGGGTGTGGTGGCTCATGCCTGTAATCCCAGCACTCTGGGAGGCTGAGGCAGGTGCATGACCTGAGGTCAGGAGTTCAAGACCAGCCTGACCAGTATGGTGAAACCTCATCTCTACTAAAAATACAAAGATTAGGTGGGCGTGGTGGCATGCACCTGTAGTCCCAGCTACTCAGGAGGGAGGCTGAGATAGAATTGCTTGAACCTGGGAGACAGAGGTTGTAATGAGCCGAGATCAAGTCACTGCACTCCAGCCTAGGTGACAGAGCGAGACTCCCTCTCAAAAAAAAAAAAAAAAAAAAAAAAAAGAGGTCTGCAAGGGGGATCTGAGCAGACGTGAGAGATGGTGTCACAGCAAGCCACGGTGACACGGATACACTTACTGGTGTCACAGGGCCAAGTAAGAGTACCTGTCTCAGCCTCCTGAGTTGCTGGGATTACAGGCGTGAGCCACCAGACCCCGTACTTTAAGAGGCCGAGTACTTAATCCCAGCACTTTAAGAGGCTGAGGAGGGTAGATTGCTTGAGCTTAGGAGTTCCAGACCAGCCTGGCCAGCATGGCGAAATCTAGTCTCAATAAAAGAAACCACAAAAATTAGCTGGCTGTGGTGGTGCACACCTGTAATCCCAGCTATTTGGGAGGCTGAGGTGGGAGGGCGGGAGGATTGCTTGAGCTTGGGAGGTGGAGTTCAGAGTGAGCCAAGATCATACTATTGCACTCCAGCCTGGGCAACAGAGTGAGATGCTGTCTCACAAAAAAAAAAAAAAAAAAAAAAAAAAAAAGTACCAGGGGTTGTATGATGCAGTGATGACTTGCAAGGCTTCGGGGGACTGACTGTTGAGCCACTTCCCCTCTCTGTGCCTCCTTTTCCTCATCTGAAGAATGGGGATAACAACACTCAACATACAGGTCCGAGAGATAACGCACATGAAAACCCTGGCCAGCCCCCTGTTTCCTTTACCACGTCCTGAATGTCACTTCATCAGAGGCCTCTCCTGGGAGCCTCCCCAGGAGGTCTCGCTCCGTCACCCAGGCTACAGTGTAGTGGTGCAGTCCTAGCTCATTGCACCCTTGAACTCCTGGGTTCAGGGGATCCTCCCACCTCAGCCTCCCAAGTAGCTGGGATCACAGGCATTAGCCACCACACCCAGCCTCTTTGCAAGTTTTTTTTTTTTTTTTTTTTTTTTTGAGACAGAGTTTTACTCTTGTTGCCCAAGCTGGAGTGCAATAGCGCGATCGTGGCTCACCACAACCTCCGCCTCCTGGCTTCAGGTGATTCTCCTTCCTCAGCCTCCCGAGTAGCTGGGATTACAGGCATGTGCCACCACGTCCAGCCAATTTTGTATTTTTAGTAGAGACAGGGTTTCTCCATATTGGTCAGGGTGGTCTCAAACTCCCGACCTCAGGTGATCCGCCCACCTCGGCCTCCCAAAGTGCTGGGATTACAGGCATGAGCCACTGCGCCTGGCCCTTTTTCTTTTAAGTTATGGGCTCTCGCCTTTTTGCCCAGGCTGTTCTTGAACTCCTGGGCTCCATCAATCCTCCCACCTCAGCTTCCCAAAGTCCTGGGATTACAGGTGTGAGCCATGGGACCCAGCCTCTTGGGAAGTTTTCGTCATTCATTTTAGAGTTTACTTCTTTAATCTGCCACTATCCTGTAACTGCATGAGGACAAGAACTTCTTTTGTTTGCCTATTACTCAGCATTTAGGGAAGCACTCAGCACACATTAACTAAATGAGACCGTTAGCTCTTCGGACAGGTGTCTTATCCTTAGAATAGTTTAAATCCCCAGATTTCCAGGGTAGTGCTGACTTTTCCAAACACTATATTAAAGTGTTTGGGGAGTGGGAGGCAGAGCTTTGTATTTCTTTTCAGATGGTTTCATTCTTTTCAGTAGGGACAAGGCACAATTACACATTTGGCCCAGTTCAGCTGGTATTCATGGAGTTCCTGCTCTGTCTCAGGCACCTGCCAAGGGCTGGCAGTCCCTGGAGGGGAACCCATGCTCCTTACTCTGGAGGAGCTCACTGAATGGGGTAGTGACAGAGTGGGCTCCTTCCTGGATGAGGACGGGTGTCCATCAATATCATGGAGTGATTTCTGTGGCCTCCTGGGCCAGTCCTGTCTGGGGAGTAAAGATCCTACCTTAGTGGATGGAACAACCTCTCTGTTCTTCAGCCTCATGTCATTGACATGGGAATAACAATACCTGGGCCGGGTGCGGTGGCTCACTCCTGTAATCCCCAGCACTTTGGGAGGCTGAGACGAGCAGATCACATGAGGTCAGGAGTTTGAGACCAGCCTGGCCAACATGGTGAAACCCTGTCTTTACTAAAAATACAAAAATGAGCTGGGTGTGGTGGTGGGTGCCTGTAATCCCAGCTACTTGAGAGGCTGAGGCAAAAGAATTGCTTGAACCTGGGAGGCAGGGGCTGCAGTGAGCCGAGATTGTGCCACTGCACTGCAGCCTGCGTGACAGAGCGAGACTCTGTACCCGCCCTGCTGCAAAACAAACAAACAAACAAACAAACAAACAAACACCCAATACCTGCTTGCTGCTGCCTCCCTATGGGGAGTTCAGCATTCATCTGGAAGGGAGCTCTTGAACACAGAATGGGCATATGGCATGGAAATGAGTCCTGACAGCCACTTCCTGCTCAGAGTTTTAGGATCCTGCAGCCTGGGTACATTGAAATGGTGCTGCTGTTCTTGAGGAGGTTTTTTGGTTTTGTTTTACATTATTGGGGTCTTGCTGTGTTGCCCAGGCTGGTCTTGAACTCCTGGGCTCAAACGATCCTCCTGAGGAGGAATTTTACAAACCCAAGACCAGGAAACCCCAGGGAGAGAACCTCTGGCTTGGGTAGCGTGAGTGCCCACTTGAACCTGGTTGGAGCTGTGTGGCCTCAGGCAAAGCATGCAAGCTTCCTGCGTCTCATCTGTGAATGAGGTGCACCACAGGCGCCACAGGGCTGTGGGGAGAGTCGCAGGAGTCCGGCACAGAGTGGGTGCTCAGTAAGGCTTAGTTTCCTTTCCCCTCCTTCAGGAAGACCACAGTCACCACCTGCAATAGACCGAGAGACTCCTTCCTGCCGCAGGTGGAGCTGGGGGCTGGGCCCAAAGGCAGACGGAGACAGGGGAGTTGTACTCAGGCTGGAAGCCTCCCCAGAGTCTCTGCAGCTCCCCTCACCTGGTCAAGGACTTGGTCAGGTCAAGGCCAATAAGCCCCTGGGGGCAAAATAAAGACCATGCGATAGGCCAGCCTAGGAGGAGGCAGTATTAGCCACAACTTTTATAAGACAGCATCTAATCATTAACTACACAAATTTTTGAAAATCTTACTATGTGCCAGGCACTTTCCGGAGGACATGAGGCATCGGGTGAAAGGAAAAAGTTAGTCAACGGCAGCCGAGATCAGCTCACTGCCCAGAATATTGGTTGTTTTTTTTTCAATGTCTCACTTGGGCCCCATTTCAGATACAGTGACCAACTCCCTGAGAGGACGACCTTGTGCTTCTGGTCAAATAGCCCATTCGTGCAGGGCTGGGCCTGCTGTCATGTGTATTTTGTGCTTCTGAAGATCATTTTTCAGCAGTGGGTGTAAGAGTGATGGATTTGACCAGGCACGGTGGCTCATGCCTATAATCCCAGCAATTCAGGAGGCTGAGACAGGAGGATTGCTTGAGGCCAGGAGTTTGAGACCAGCCTGGGCAACATAGTGAGACCTCCCCCCGGCCCCTGCCATCTCTACAAAAATATAACAAATTAGCTGGGTATGGTGGTACATGCCTGTAGTCTCAGCTACTTGGGAGGCTAAGGTGGGAGGATCCCCTGAACCCAGGAGTTCAAGGGTGCAATGAGCTAGGACTGCACCACTACACTTGAGCCCAGGGGTTCAAGTCTATAGTCATGATTACGCCGCCGCACTCCAGCCTGGGTGACAGAACGAGACCCCAGCTCAACAAAAAATAATAATGAATTTGGATCGAGTTAAAGGGAGATCTCTCCCTTTCTTTCAACTGAGAAATATCACCCTTTTGAGAGTGAGATTTCACTGTAGGCTCTCCAGCTGAACTGTCTTGAGAGACGATAGCCCTCACATTCCTGCCTTTGGAGTCTCACTGCAGCACAGAGAGAGCCCCAAAGTCACACAGCAAATGCGCAACTGAGATGGGACTAGGACCGGCGTGAAGACAAGCTGCAGGGAAGAGTGTAAGCTCCAAGAGGCAGTCAAAGGTGGAGCAGGTGGGTCTTGGTTCTTCTGGGACCCCCAGAAAACACTCCTCTTTACAGCCACTCTCCCTTCTCCTTCAGCTGTTTTTTTTTTCCCAATGGCAAATAAAGCCCAGACCCAGTCTGAGCCGGGGAGACCATTCTTCCTCACCTGGCTCCAGGCCATCCAAGAACAAAAGCAAGCATACTTACTGGTTTGTCATCAAAGGCTTGGGAAGACGGCTCTGCTGAGACGCATGCTCTGGCTGGACAGGTTAGGGCTTTGGGGGCCCTTCTGGAAG